GCTTTGTAGCCGGCGACTGGGCTTATTAGCCGGCGGATTTTACTATATAAAACTCCGTCCCAAGCTGATTTGGGCTTAATAGGCGGCTGGGCCTATTAACCGTGGGCTCAATAACTGGGCTTAATACGCGGCTGGGCTTATTAACCGTGGGCTTAATAACCGGCGACCTACTCTAATAGCTAAAAGCTCGGACACATGTTTTGCCGATATCCTGCCGCTGCGTGGCACAGCTATGACGGGTTCGGGTCTTATTTTAAAGATTTTGATATAAGCGTCGAACACAATCTACATTTGTGTATGCAGTTTGACCGCCGGCTTAGATGATGTCCACTGCGTACTGCACAACAGCCTGAGATCAAGCACGGTGACCGGCGCGCGAATTGGCTTATAGTGAGGGTAGACTTTCGATGCATCTATTTCACACACACACTCTCCCACCTGTCATAACGAAGTGAAGAAGATCAGAGGCGGGAGAGGGCCCAGGTAGCTGGAACGATCAGAACCGCCCCCTATGCGTTCCGCCACACCAGGCTCGAATCTCACGGGGTGGGTGTGCCATATACACCACATTAAGAAGGGGCCATTGCAGCCCCATAGCCCCAGTACTGCGTTGAAGGTTGATTTTCCGAAAAGTTAGAAGTACACGAAGGACGAATCAGAAAGAGGAGAGACAAGGAGAGGGGATGGGGGGATCGGAACTGAGAAGACGCTCAAAGTTCTCTTGGGACCGTTTGACCTTGGCTGGGTTGTCACCCACGAAGTCGTCATTTAGACCGTAGCCAATCACTCGTGCATGGGCCAAGTAATTTTGGTGTGAAAGACGTTTAAGTCTTGCTTCATGGAATTTGACACTTCGGTCGAATAGGTTTTGCGGTGTTCTCTGCTCCGACGTTGTCAAAGTCTTATGAAGTTAGCGGAACTAATAATTGTTGCTGGATCTAGCTTGGACTGCCTCAAAAGACAAATATAGGGCTCTTGTGCTGACCCAACCGTTAACAAAGCGCCCAACTGATGACTGCAGATAAGGGCATTATTTCTTTAGGCGGTCCATGAGCATAGATCACAAGTCTGCGCGAGCAGCTATGAGGATCTGTGCCACTTCTTGCCACCACCAGCAGTTGTTTCGACTGCTGTCCGGCGAACGCTCCGATGCTTTTCCTGTAAGGCTTAGTTACCGCTCGATTGACCCTTGTCAGCGTCGCCGGTGGGAAGGGGTTGTGGGCTATCCAAGATCAGATAGATCGTATATGTGTCAACTCTCGAGCCCAAATTCTTGCAGATTGTTGTGTTCTGTAGTCTTCCGTCTCCCACGCTGCAGCCAATATTGCATATTTATTCCAAGACATCCCCCATGGAGACGATACGTTAAATAAACTTTTTTTTAACGGACGCCATTGCAAGGCAACAACTTCAGAAGGCTCTGATTTACTACAAATCAAGTGGTAATCGAGGCACCGGCAGAAGCCTCAGTCTTTATTTAAATATTCCGGACACCGGTTGGAAAAAAAGGTCGAAACTGTTAGAATTTCCTAACCGGATTAAAAAGCACACCGGCTTGGATGTACCTAGAAACCCAGTGTTTGGCTTTCAGCCAATGGTTTGATCATAATTTAAACGCAGGTGTTAGCTGGTGCTGCTGCTGCTGCTGCTGTTGTATGACGCGAATGCTAGGGGTCCTGTTCGCCATTGGGCCTGCCCTGCCTCCCCGACATGGCTTGCAGTATTTACTCATCACAGTGGAGCAGAGAGCAGTCGGCCCGTGTGTTTGGACTTTTAACTAACACCTGTGTCCTGGAATATGGTCGAATTATGCAACTGCTAGGTGTGCGGTCACGTGGTTATTCCGCCAAGTCTTATGCGGTTAGGCTCATTCCCATTGACATGGACGGTCTAACCTGAAAAGGCTTGTCTTAAAGTCCCTACTCCCACGGCAATTTCTCTCAGTATCATATGAAAGTAGGCTGTTACGTGCGCATGGTCGGTTTAACGCCGCTCACGTGTCAGCTGTGGATACAGCTGTGGTCGCCGTCTCATCGCCAGGTGGCGGTAATCGTTACCACCTGCGTAGCTGTCCGTCTTTACGGGGAGAAGGGGGGGGGCTGGGCAATGATGTCAGATGGTTGTGTCAGCGTATAGCCAGCACTAAGGGCGGAATAAATTAAGCAAATTAACCCTTCTCGAGGCGGCATGTTATCCTACAAGGATGATGTTCGGTTCCAGTTGGTGTTCTTGGTTTCTTTAGTCTCTAACAGAGTCGATAACAACACTGTCAATCTAAATCCTCCCTCTTATGGGACTGGTTTTAGTAAGCCAAACGCACACTGATAGCCCGCGTCATGTTATCGCAGCCGATCTTTACCGTGATAAAGTATTACGCTGGTAATGTAGACTGCCGTTAAGCAGTCTAGAGAAAAAATGGTCTACCTGACTATCTGGCTCGACTTCCAACCACAAGGGTGCTCTTGTTTTAACTCACGTCTTTACAGTGCCTACAGCAAGTGACCGATCTCATGCAATACAGACAGAATTTCTGCAGTGCGTTTTCGATTAGAAAAGGTAACTTAAGTGGGGTTGTGATATTGATCGTCTTGCCGCAAACTCCCATGATAGCTCAGACAAACCAGGGTGCCACCTTTGAATGCACATCTTTTCGGCCGTTTGCAGAAACTGCATTCCTTAAAAGGGGACTACTTAAGTAGTATGCATTTTCTGCAAATTTTCGGTGCCGTGCTTAATTCAGACATATTTTATAGAAAGCATAGACAGAATAATACTCCTCGTACCCATTTGGTGGTAAATCACGTCTTCTTCAATTTTTTTTGCTCGAAGGTGTCTTTCGATTTTGAAAACTTTCCAATTGTGAGATTTTTTTGGGACTGTACAGTGTGTATTCAAGAAGCCTTGTATCCTTCCTCATGGAGTATATGACATAGTCCACATTAATTGCTACTTTTTATGGTAACTGTATCTTCTTAATGGCATACAAAGAGAACATACAGTTTGTAGACTGAAAACCCTAAACACAGATGCAACGGCAGATCGCGCTCAAAATATTCTTGAATCGGAGAACTTAATAGAGCCCCAAACTACCCTTTCTTAAAGTTCAAATTTGGAAGAAGAGGTAATTTGCCACAGATTGAGTGCAAGCAAGAATATTTTCGCTGAAGTTTTCTGCAAAATATATTTCAATATATAAGAACATCGAAACTCAATAGAAAAAAAGGTGTACTACGTAAGAAGCAACTTTGTACCGCACGCGGTTTTCCCTGGAAGCTGAAATGACGTGCATTCAAAAGCCAGCATCCTGGCGTGTCTGAACTACCTACGCATTAGGCTGCATGATAATTACTATTAGAACTCCGCCTGCTGGTTTTAGAATTTTCGTTAAGATTTCACGAGATCGCTCAGCGACTGTACTCACAGCCCTTTCTCTCTGCGGTAGCAGTATTTTACTTGGTCACAAATGAGACAGCCCGCACTCGCTGCGACGACGTCGTCAGAATATCCCAGGCCATCCAAGAAAATCGACAGAGGTGGTTTGGGCACGTTTTTCGTCGTCCGTTCCGCGAGCTCAGTGTTACTGCCATCGATCCGGCACTGTTACCAAATCGGAGGCGCCGAAGAGGGGGTTAGGTTAAAACCTGGCTCGCCGCGGGTTGTCAAGACATGGAAATGGTGTTTGGATCTTCGGTATTCGGCCTCCATCGTTGGCGAAAAGAATAAGTTGAACTTTCCAGGTCTGCTGCGCGGATCCTCATGCTTGGAAAGGTGTAATCCGTGACATCACCGGGGCCGGCTAGATCAGGCCTAGTCGCAGCCGTACCAAGTACAAGTATTCTGACTTACACAATTTCACAAGCAGTCTCACCCAGGATCATGTATTATGCTATGTTAAGTTTTGAAGCAGTTTATTCTAGCACCTCTTTTCCTTTTGTAGCCCTGCTTCCAGCTGGACGACTTCATCTCCTCTGGTCGACAGCCCTCCATCGTCCCGGACATGATAACCACCCTTGCTGATTGGATGGTTGAAGTGCAGGAGAACTTTGCATTCAACCATGAAACCATCCATCTCGCTTGGGGTCTCTTATACTCCTGTCTGAGTCATTGTCCACCTGTCGCCAGGTAGGTTATAGCTCGGTAGTCTGGTAACTGTCCTGCTCCATTAATCGCTTTCGACAGACTTCTCAACTGATCTACGACATTCAGCCACAAATGCCTTTTTACGTCTTCCTGACGTGCGATTTATATGAGAGGGGAGATATTCATTTCTGACGAAAAAAAACTGTTGTTATTGATAGTGTTGCCCGCGTTTGTCATTTTAACTGAATTTACTTGTTCACTGTCCGAATCCCTTGTGTAGGTTGAATTGTTTAGAAGCAGAAGCTATCACAGAAAAGAGCGATGGAAACTCATTCTGGAATAAGTGCACAAACGCCAACGGATGAACTTGTGAGAAAAGCCATATCAGGCTTATTCATGCTTTTTTTTAATCAGCCGTTCCCCTGCATACCCAATGTAACCGGCCAATTTCACGAGGACTAGCTGGCGGGAGACTGGTTGACCAGCCTTCGTCTTTTTTAGTCTTAAAAGTGTGCGAGCAAACACGAAAGGCGTAAACTAGCAAATCAGTCTTAGTTACTTCGCCGCCCATAGTCGATCACCAGAGAAAACAGTTCTTGTTTCTAGTGGTTGGCAAAGATATTAAAATAAGACATTCCCTACTTTTTCCTACGTACCTTGCTCTCGGAGATTGTTGCTTATTTTTGGCTGACGTCATATCTGTAAGCGGACTTAAAAGCAAAACTCAGTTGTCTGCAAATGACCCACCAAGACGAAGGGCTGCGACCCATGCTTTTTTTATCAGTATAAGTATTGCCTTTATTCTATTAAGTTTAGGGTCTATTCTATTGTATTTGGTTACGTTTCCGTCCTATAAATATGAAAATCATATCAATCAATTCGTACGGCATATTGTCCGTTTTCAAGTTACACATCAGTTTATAGCTGTCAAATATCGTAATGGTAAAGCATTTCTGTCTGTCGATCTTAGTTTACAGATTTTAAAGCAGAAAGTGCAACCACCCGAAAAGGAACGTGGTTATGTAAATCTTGATATCTACCACAGCAAATCGTCTTTTTTTAAACACTAAGTAACACACATATTGTGCTTGGGAAAAGGACATAGTGCAAAACATTAACCTAGTGTACTTGAGCCCACCCAAATTCTTTACTTTCCTCTCTTTTCTGATTAATTTTAATACTTGTAAGGGCTCTTCGCTTTAACATTGCCTGCACAGGGAAGGCAAGACGCGTTATTTCGTTTCCATGATAACCCAATCTATGGGCCTTTTCTTGGTCATTGCAGTTTTGTGTCTCCGGGCTTCATTAGGAGAAAAGACGAGCTTAGCAACCACGAATTGAAAGCCTAGCGCTGTAAAAGCAACGAGCTTCCATCGTCGAAGGTAAATTTAATATGGCGCCTCACAGCATTGAAAGGGTGTCATTCACGCTCGCATGCTGCTATCTCCTAGGCTATGTGTGCGAACTGCACTACGAGACAGAGGCGATTGTTGTCATACTGGCAAGGGTTCCCCACCCCTCTCGTCGGGGCGGGGGAGGAGTGGGCGTTGGCAGGGCGGTGTCGGGATGATAGCAGTCATTTCTCTCCTCTGCGTCTTTCCGCACACGTGTCGCCTGTGGTTGCTGAGCTAGCACCGACGGCCCCGTTCACATCGGGCTGGCGATCCCAGTTATCGGTGTTCATGCGTTAAATGCGTTCAAGCCCGACAAAAGGCCTGGCCCGTTCGCCTTCGCCTCGATATCCCCACCGGTTGCGGTTGTGCCCACACCCACCTGTGTTACCGCTCGGCATCGGTCAGTTTACGATCGCGCTCAGCCTGACTTCTCGCCCCCCCCCGTTCCGCCGAATGACCCGCACATGTAGGGTCAGATAAACCGCCGGGAGAGTAGCACAACGGCTGATGGGAGTTAGTGCGGTGCGTCATGCCTCGAACGTTTCTCTGGCTGTTTGGTTGGTATACTCATGCGGGTCCCCACAGTCGTCTGCCGGCCTTTCCAACGAATTTCGCCCTACAGGGTTTGCAATTGGCGCAATAGATGACATTGGCCGTTTCG